CTCCCACTGCCCCTCGAATTTTGTTTTTTGAGACACTATCATTCCATCGCCCCAGCTAGAATTCAGTGGTATCATCATAGCTCACGGCAACCTCAAATTCCTAGGCTTAAGCGATCTATCTTCCTGCTTCAGCCTCCCGAGTAGCTGGGACTATAGGCACGTGTCACCATGCCGGGCTAGTTTTTCTATTTTTTGTAGAGACGGGGTCTTGTTTTTGTTCAGGCTGGTCTCCCACTCCTCAGCTCAAGCGATCCTCCTGCCTCAGCCTCCCAGAATGCTAGGATTGCAGGTGTGAGCCACTGCGCCTGGCCTCCCAGTGCCCCTGAACAATCCTCCCACCAAAATCTTTGGCCCTTCTCAGGTCATGTGCCCATCCCTGCACCAATCACTGGAGCTGAGGGTATAGGATGATGGGCCAACCTGGGTCCCATGCCCACCCCTTTGGTGGGGAGGTGGAGCCCCTTGAATGACAGTCTCACCAAAATTCAAAGAGAAGGGATGCAGGGCAGGCAAAGAAGTAAGCAACTTCACACTACAATCATATTGAGGTCTCCCTATCTTCAACCTTCCCATTCGTTCCCAATCTCACTTTCTTCCTTTTGCTTCTATGTCTTGACAAGGAATTCTCAGCTGGTTATTTTGGTGCGACTCAGAAACACCCATCTTGTTCTGCCCTGGACACCCATGATCCCAAGAGATCTCAGAGGGAGACAATGGCCTACAAGACAAATCAGTAGAGAAACACTATTTTGAGCCTTTCTCTGCAGCAAGTGTCCAGGAGTCCTAAATGCCTGAGTGGAGCATTGTGTGTGAGATGGACCAGGGACTTTCAGTGAGCAGGAGGCACCACCACCCATCAGAGCTGTTTGTGTGGAATTTCTCTTTCTCAGAATTACACCATCCGTATTGGCATGCCAGAACATGGGCTTTATCACCAGTATAATAAAACTGATGAAACTTAATGTTCCATTCCAATAATATAATAAAATGTATTCGTAGGCCTTTTATCAGCTCCCTATGTAATAAAATAAATCACATACTCACTGGATGCTTTTCCTAATTCCTCCCTCTTATCCTGGGTCTCTTATGAGGATGGTCCATTTTCCTGCTGACAGCACTGGGAAAATAGAGAAAGGGAATAGAGAAAGAGGGATGGGTGGGGTTTCACAGGTGATGCTGTCTAGCCAGGTTTAAAGGTGCTTTGCATCCTGCCCTGGAGTAGAACAGCAGGGCTGGAGAAGGGGAAATACTTTTTGCCAGGGGTCCTGTTGTTAAATCGCTTTTTCATCCTGCCTTCCCCCAAGAATACAATGAATTGTTAATGTATTGAGTGAGGGCTTCACTCTGCTCTTAACTATTATTGGTTTCTTACGATGAACTAGGGACATCAGTTATTGTGCAGACATGGTCAAAGCATGAAGGCTTTTTGGTCTCTTTTGTTTTCCGAAAAACTATGTATTGTTCAAAAATTGAAATATATTTGAGCCCTTACTAATGCTTTCAGGTAAACTTGCCCTCTCTGGGTTCAAACAGCATCTTCCAGATGAATTTGCAATTGAATTCAGGAGTCTCCCCTCTCCCCCCACCTTGCCTTCTCTTTTCCTTGCTCCTTTCCTCAGGATCTAGGTTCCTAAGGGCTGATGTATTTTCCCAGCATTTGGGGAAAGCACATTTGAATCATCCTCCAGCTGAGATTGCTCATCGTCACTTTAGCCCTAGCTCAAGGCTGCCCACCAGTGGCCTCTGTTGTAGCACTCCTCCAGCCACCCCCAGGCACCCTCATTCCTAATTCCAAGCTGTCTTCCCTACTCTCTTGAGGAGCCTCAGCAACTTTTCCAGACTTTCTCACTCCCGCCCAAGGCCAAAGAAGCCATGAGTGCTATGGACTGAATGTATTTCCCCCAGAATTCACAGATTGAAACCTAATCCCTGAGGCAGTAATACTAAGAGGTGGGGCCTTTGGGAGTTTCCGTAGTCATCAATGGGGTCAGTGCCCTTATAAAAAAGACCCCATTCCCCTTCCACCATGTGAAGACACAGGGAGAAGATGGAAGTCTCTGAACCAGGAAGTGGGCCCTTATCAGACATCAAACCTGCCAGCACCTTGATCCTAGAGTTCCCAGCTCCAAGGACTATGAGAAATAAATTTCTATCATCTAGAAGCCACCCAGCCTATGGCAGCCTGAATGAACGGTGACAGCGGTGGATGGGGCAGTGAGAAGTTGTCAGTCGACTATTCTCTGGCTAAATTGTCCACCCTGTGGTTTATTTGGCTTCCTTCCAGATAGCTCCAAAATAATGTGGAAGCCCTCCTACAGGGAACCAGATAGGAGCTTCTCTGATCTGGGATTCTCAGACTCATCTGAGTATTCAGCACCTTCTTCCCATGCCTCATAAAGTTTTCAACCCCAGGGAAGCTGCAGAACAGAAGATAGACCCACACTCATATCTCAGTGCTCTTGATGTCTCCAGCTCTCTCTCACACATGCTATGGCGTGGAGTTGTGGTCCTCCAATGTGAGTGTGCATCACCTGGAGGGCTTATTACAACATGGGCTGCTGGCTGTATCCCCAGCATTTCTGACTCAGTAGGTGTGGTCAGTAGAATAGTGATCTTTAACAATAATAATGGCACACCAATCCCTGAATTTATGAATATATTAGCCTACATGGCAAAAGGGACCTTGTAGATGTGATTGAATTAAGGATCTTGAGATGGGGAAATTATCCTGGATTATCTGGGTGGGCCCCATATAATCAGAAGGGCCTTATAAAAGGGAGGCAGGGTGGGCGTGGTGGCTCACACTTGTAATCCTAGCACTCCAGGAGGCCAAGGCGGGTGGATCTCTCAAGGTCAGGAGTTCTAGACCAGCCTGAGCATGAGCGAGACCCTGTCTCTACTAAAAATAGAAAGAAATTAGCTGGAAAACTAAAAATATATAGAAAAAATTAGCCAGGCATGTGGCACATGCCTGTAGTCCCAACTACTTAGGAGGCTGAGGCAGAAGGATTGCTCGAGCCCAGGAGTTTGAGGTTGCTGTGAGCTAGGCTGATGCCACAGCACTCTAACCCGGGCAACAGAGTGAGACTCTGTCTCCAGAAAAAAAAAGATGTTCTGGCCAGGCGCAGTGGCTCACACCTGTAATCCTAGCACTCTGGGAGGCTGAGGCGGGTGGATCTCTCAAGGTCAGGAGTTCAAAACCAGCCTGAGCAAGAGTGACATGCCATCTATACTAAAAATAGAAAGAAATTAGCTGGAAAACTAAAAATATATAGAAAAAATTAGCCGAGCATGGTGGCTCATGCCTGTAGTCCCAGCTACTTGGAGGCGTGAGATCAGGGAGAATTTGGTTTTGAGCCCAGGAGTTTGAGGTTGCTGTGAGTTAGGCTGACGCCACAGCACTCTAGCCTGGGCGACAGGGTGAGACACTGTCTCAAAAAAAAAAAGGAGGCAGGAGAGTCAGAGTCAGAGAAGGAGATGTGATGATGGAAGCAGAGGTTGGAGTGATGCAGCCACAAGCCAAGGAATGCAGGCGTTTAGAAGACAGAAAATGCAAGAAACAGATTCTCCCCTAAATTCTCCAGGAGGAACACAACTCTGCTGACCCCTTGATTTTAGCCTTGTAAGACACACATAAGAACTCTGACCTCCATAACCATAAGGTAATACATTTATGCTGTTTTAAGCTGCTAAGTGTATGGTCATTTGTTACAGCAGCCACAGATAGGAACCTAATACAGAATTGGAGTGGCTCCTGAGACTTTGCATTCCTAGTAAGTCCTCAGGTGATGCTAATGCTTCAGGTCCAGGGACCATATTTTGATAACCATTGACTCTTAGTGAAGCACATCCTCCTCAGTATTCTCCAAACTCTGGACTGTAGGTTAACTTGTTTTCTCTTTCAACAACACCTGGATCATGCAAATAGCTTTGTCTTTGACAACACTAATCTGCAGAAAGTGCCTGTAATGGAAATCAACACTTAAACCTTGATTAATTTCTTCTTCCTGTTCTGCTGTGAAGCAATGGTGGAGAACCACTGGGAAGTCATCATAATTAGTCATTAAAATATATTGTATTAATATTCCATAAATATTTATCTTACTATGTGGTTATTTATTTTCTTTTGGGAATAATTGCAGAGCTCTGTCATTTTTATCTACTCTCACAAAATCTCCATGGAAAATAGAAAAAGAGCCTCCACATGCTATAGAGGAAATGGAACAGACAGAGATTCACAAAGAGCAAGGTGTTCTGGTTTCCTTTGTGTACCCTCCGCCCACCAGTCCCTTCCCTTGGCTATATCTGGCCACACCCTTTTGTCCAGCAATGTTTGGCATTGCTATCTTTGACTGAGGTTCCCCATGTAATAATGCTGGCTTTTCTATCTTGGGATGCTCAGATGGAGTCAACAGTGATGGTTGCTATGGGCAGCAAACCAGCCAGCCACAGTGCCCTGGATCTGCAAAGAGTTCTCCAGGACCCCACTTGAGATGGAAGACCTCACCGTATTCACTCCAGAGCTCCTGGTAGAGGAAGGAAGAGGAGGCACACAGAGCCCTGATGGCTTACAATGAATCCAGCACCTTGCATGGAGTAGTTACAGAATATTAACACACAATGACGAGGGTCTTGGAGATCAACTGGACTGTTGGGCTTGCCATTTCCTCCTTCTCTTCTCCCTTTCCTCTCTCTCTCTCTTTCTTCATCTCTCTCTTTCCCATCCTCCTCTCTTGGCAGGCAGCCTGTATTGGAATACTGGGTCCGTCCTCTTTTTGCTAACTGTGTGACAATGAACCTCCCTGATCTTTAATTCTCTCACTTACTAAGTAGGGGTGAAGATACCAACAAGCTCAGTTCTCTGAGAACTAGAAGGGACAATATCTGAAATGTGCCGAGTGCGTAGTAGGTCTCACTTAACACTCTCCCCAGCGTCCAGTGCTACTCTCCAGCCTTCTCACCACTAAGCCCCATTCGAATGACAAATTCCACAAGGAATGTAAAGCAGGAAACAACTTTAATGGAAAGCTCATAGTTTCCCTTTCATGCCAAGAGTATAGTATCTCCCACTCCTTTTAGGTTTCCCGCTGCCTATGTGGCCTTATCCCTCCAGGTGGGCAGGCTTAGAGCTCTGGGCAGGCGCTTTCTTCCTGAGCCAAACAGTTTCATCGAAATAAAATCAAATACAATAGCAGGCAAAAAGGAAGCCAAGCAGAGCCACAGGTAAGAGCCTCCCCCCGGCGCGTAGAAGGCGGAGGGTCTCCTGGCGGAGATGGCGTGCTCGATGTCCTGCAGCACCGGGGAGAAGTCCGGGCAGGACAGCGTGTTGACCCTGTGCAGGTAGCACTGCTGCGCGTGGATGTACTCTCCGCCATAGTCCTCCTGCACCTCGGTGGGGAGATGGTCCAGGAGGTCCTTCTCCAGTTTGTCCCACGTGTCACTGGTGCCTGCGATACCTGGGCCGAGAGGAAAGGAAGGGTCGGGGGCTGGGAAGGCCAGGCCATGTCAGGGAAGCCCGTGCTTGTGGACTGGCCTCTGTTGGGAAGGATGGGCATTTGCAAATGCCTTTTAAAAGATGTGCTTTACAATGGTATCCATCGTCATTTTTAAACCTGCATACGGAGAAGTGCACACATTGGATTTGCACAGCGTAGCCCGTGTCACCAGCAAACAGATCAAGAAGAGAACAAGACCCCAGCCTCAAAAGTCCCCCTCTCAGCCCACGCCTCCCAATAACCACCGTCCTTATTAACAAAATGGATTCATTTTGCCTGGTTTTGAACATTATATAAATGGCATCATATAAAGGGTCCTTACTCTTTTGTGTCAACTTCTTGACTCAACATTATGTGTGGGAGATTCATCCAGGTATTGTGTGGTGACTCTCCTTGCTACATTTTCTGCGTAAATGTGTCATAAATTATTTATCCATTAGACTGTGATGAGCATTTGCGTTGTTTTCAATTTGGGGCTTTTACAAGTACTGTTGCCACTCGCATTCTAGTACACCTTTTGGTGACTATCAAATATAATGTCAACAATATAATATATACTATATGTAATATGGTGTATGTAAATAGATACATATAATCGTACATAATTTTTAATAAACAAATGCCTACTTCCATATTTAAAGTTAAATGCATAATTTCGAATATGTAATCTATATAATAAACACAAGTTTAAAATATATATTAAATGTAATTTTAATATAATTTACATATAGCTTTAAATTTTAATGTATAAATCACATGTGATTAAACATAAATATATTTTAATATAGAGGCAATGCCTGCTTATTTTATAAGATTAAATAATACACATTTACTTAAAATGTAGCAGCAATGCCTGCTCATTGTATAAAGTGAATAATAAGAGATGTGCATATTTTTTAAATGAATCTCCTTTGAGGTAACTAACAGCTTTGCAAACCCTTCTACATTCCCTCCTTGTTTATACAAACATACACATATAGAAGGCTTTGGCTCAATTTTATTTTACCAGGAAAGAAAAAGACAAAAAGGATTATACTACAGTGTTTATATTTTCCAGAAATTTTCTTTTTCTTTTCTTTTCTTTTTTTTTTTTTTTTTTCTTAGTAATAAATCACAGACTTCCCTTCTGGTCAATGGCTATAGATTTAAACCAGAGAAACAAAATTTTCCATTGAAAAGCTTTCAGTCAGCCAATCATCCCCAAGTTTCACCTTTAAAAGCCATGTGGCAGTAAACAGACCTGCACAATCTATCCCTTTGTACTCAGGCTTTATTTCTGTTGGCGAGAGTCCCCAGACTGCCTCCTGGTCAAAAAGCACGTTCGTTTTGAATTTTGATAGCTACTGCCAGATTATTTTCTAAGAAGGTTGCAGCTACCCATACTCTCTCCTGCAAAGTGCGTGATTGCTCTCGATTGCTGTGGGGATAAACCTTTGTTAGGTTGGTGACTCCTGCATGCCAGGGCTGGGCGGGAGAGGGGTGTTGGCCAGCACCTAGCTGTGCAATGTAAGCTGGTGAAATCCAATTACACACATGAAAGTGCAAATGGGCTTTCAATTGCTCTTTTCTTTTCATCAAGGAAGGCACCATATTTAAACAAAGGATTATCCTGACAATGACTCTGGAGGCTCTCAAGTCTTGAAAAACATGTTTTTGAGAACTACTGTTTCTCCTGCCACCTCTCCCTGTCCTTGCCTTCATAAGCTCCTTTTCCTCTCCACCTCCTTTCTCTTTAAACGCCTCATGGACTTTCTGACCATTCTTGTGGGTACCCTGTTCAGGGTCCCCGAAGCTCTCTTTAGGGGTGACAAAAAGCACCTGCACGTGGAATATTCAGGGCTCAGATGACATGGCAACTTCCTAAATTCCTACCACTATAAGAAAAAAACACATTCTTACTAAACTCCCTCCAATAACTAATAGGAGCTATTAGTGTAAAAGGGGGAATGCCTGAAAAAGGGTAAAAATGCTTTCTGTCTCTCTAAAACATCCCTCACTCCTCTTGGGAATTAAAACCTGTGTCCCTGCCTCAGGCCAGTGGGGGAGGGGCAGGGGAGTGTCCTTTGTTCTTAGAACCACGGAGATGGCTCAAGGGAATTATCTGGGCGTGGGCAGAGGACTTGAGATTGTCTTAGCCAAAGGTGGGATGAGTCAGAACCATCAACTGTAGTTGAACAGCAATAAACCGAGGCTGAAAATCTTCCCTTTAAACGCTCTGTATTTCTGCTCAGAGGCAGGATGTTGGTACTTTAAGATGGGAGTCTGCCAACCTCCTCATTTGCTGGTGAATTAATAAAATTCTCTTTCCTTCTCCTCAAACCACTTGTCTTCATTCTTCTGATGTGCCCGGTGGGACAAGTGCTGAGCTCTCAGTAACATTAGGCAAATTGTCAGACCCTTCCTAACTGATTTACAACCAGACCACTACAACCGTGATTGGAAAGAGGACCAGCTGTACAAACATTCTTTCCCTACAAGCAACTGTAGGCCTCAAGCCGGTTGTAGCCAGCTTATAGAGATTGCACACCCTGCCTTTGTGTCCTATAGTTCACCTTTTGATGTAAAGAACCAAAGTTCACTTCATTTTAATGCTAAAACCCTGATCTAAAGTGAACATGGGATGTATGTCTACTCTGTGTTGAGTACATGCACTCGACACCTCTCATAAACACGTATAGCTTTCTCCCAAACCTGCTGAATAAGCATGACTGTATTGCTTAATATGGACCCCGTGAGGCATAAAACACAACCTGCCCTTTCACCCTTCAAAGAGAGATCACCTTTGGTACACACCAGAGCCTGTCTCTGCCCGGCTTGCAAACTGATGTTGCCAGGAAAACTTTCTTTTCTACTATTTAGCCATCTTGGTGGTCTTTTGGATGACCCATGCAATATGTTTTAGCTATTTTTTCTTATAGGTCACTAAAAAAATGTTATGTGTCTTTGAGTGTTTTCAGAAGCTCCTTGTCTATGTCCCTAAAGTTTCCTTTTTCTTGCCCCCACCTTCAATTAAATATAAATGTGACGTGGCATTCTCCAAACTTTAGTTCTGTCTTCTGATCTCCGGTCTCCTACCTTCAGCAAGCTCATCAAATTACTTTAAACTGGGGGCAGCCTGGTATAAAAGAAAGAACCCAGGGGGTGTCCCTGGGACTCTGGTTTCAAATTCCCCGCCATCCTGGTGACCTTTGGGAGCACAGCTTAACAATGGTCCTAACTGACTTTCTTCTCTCTATATCCCAGACCTTCAGGTGAGCACATTTGGCTTCATCTTTGGCCCACTCCGCTTCTCCATCAACTCCTCTCAATTATCCTCCCCACCCAGGGAGTCCCCAGGTTGGAAACTCCTCTCAGAAATTCATCTTCTCTCCATTTTTACTGCCCCAGTTCAGCCTCTCCACCCAAGGGGCCAAAGTCTTTTTCTCTTGCATCTCCCACACGGCCTTAAAGAGGGAGGCTCCTAGCTGCGAAGCGCTTCAAGCCAAAATTTTGATGTTTTTATTTGGGGGGGGGGTGTTAGATTTTTATCTCATGCATTTGGATTAACATTCATACCTTTAGGGTTTGTTCTTTAGTACATTAGCGATTCTTCCCAGTTTGTGGTCTTTTATAAGACATGGCTTTTTACATCTTCATTTAAATCACCAATTAAATGTTTGATGGCCTGGAACTAAAGACTGAACCTTAGGGTGGTCCGCCTCTGCCCAGAGTTCAGATAATCAGGGAGGGAGTAGAGAAAAATGGCCGTCTCCTGCCAGGATGGAGGGGAGGTAGGTCAACATTCTTCAGAAGGAAGGAGAAAAAATATCATTTCCAAATATCTGAGGGAAAAGAAATCATCTTGTCCAATGGGAATGAGAGACTCATAAACATTACCCAGAGTGTCTGTGCAAACTTTTAAGTGAAAATAAGCTCTAAACCTAAATAAGCAAACTTGATATGAAGCTAATTGATTATACATGGGAAGAGAAGGGCACTGGTAAGAGTTAGTTAGGACTATTTTGAAGCTGTGCTTCCAAAGGTCAAATAAAACCCTGCCATTAAGGAAGGGAACGTGAGTCCTAGCAAGGTCCTGTTCTGTGTAGGCACCAGGGGACCTGGAACTCTAACTTAGCATGGGCCCTGCTTGCTTATGCCTCATGAGCCAACGAATGCAATTCCTTTGTGGGAGGAAGCAGGGAACAGCCAAACACTAAAGAACCTGGCAGTTGCTTCTCGCTTCTTAGAAGAGATCTTCCCACCCCAACCCCTCTGGGCAGACACTGACAACTGAAGAACTCTGGACACATGACCTGCACTAAGAGACCTGACCAAACTCTAACACAGCTTCCAGCAGCATGAGGATGGCATCAGCCACTCACCAGAATGCCCTGCCTGAGAAGGCTCAATCCTGCCAGGAAATTTTACTCTTTGTTCCAGCTAACACACCCCCAAACTCCCTTTCTTGGAGCACTCGCTAAAAAGAATTCACGACTGTAATCATGTACCTCTTGCAACTCAGAAGTATCTCTCCAAGGGACCTGAGAGCCATTTCTTTGGCATGGAATCATCAAGAAGGAAAAGCCCTCGGTGTCCTAGTCTCTGTGGGAGGATAGAACCCTGACTTCTGTAACAGGCAACTGGCAGACACCATCGGTCCCACCACATTGACACCGGCCAACCCTTTGTGCTTTTCTACTTGCTAGACTCTGCTGAGGCCTGCTCTCCCCACTCCCTCATTCTCCCTTTAAAATGCACAGATCAGAATGGAGCTCACCTCTGTCCCTACTACTGTTAGTGGTTATTACTGAGCAAAATCTGGTTTTGCCATTTTAGCTCATGTCTGACCGTATTCACCTTTGACAACACTCAGGGGTCCCATGTGTGCTCTGTCAGACCAAGAGGACCTTCAGGACCCCTTCCAGGATGAACACTGTGGGGCTCAGAGACCTACTTGTTCGGAAGCCTCCGGGTTGGATGACAGCGACTTTGACTCCCCATTTCGAAAGCTCTTTTCTCAGAACTGATGAAAACATGGTCAGAGCTGCCTTTGATGAACCATAGGCCGCCAGATAGTCCATTGGGACCCCTCCTGTGGGAACAATGGGAGGGGAAAAAATTAAGTCTGGTGTTTTCATTTTTTCATCCAATAAATATTAATCCGCACCTGCTGTATGCCAGGAATTGGCATTAATACCAGTGATCAAGGCAGACAAAGGTCTCTGTGCCCCGGAAAGGACACATTCTTGGCTATTCCCATGATGTGGCTTCATTTGCTACTGTCTCCCTCAGCACCCCCATCACAGCTGGTACAATGGCAAACCAAGTTTAAGGCTCCATCTTGCACAACTGCTAAACAAAATGTGATTTAGGCCTGAAATTAAAAAAAATAATAATAATAATAATACATTTTAAAATTTTTTAAAAAAAAAAAAAAAAGAATGGGTGGAAAATGATTAAATGATTGATAGACTGTCAAAAAAAAATGTGATTTAGGAAAGACAAAAAGAGTATCTGCCCACCAGTTCCTGACCTTCCAGCCTGACCAGCCCGCATTCTGAGGTTCCAGGTGGACCTACGTTGTGTGGGGATGGTCCACTATTCAACCCACTACAGCACCTGTAATTGAACAAACTGAACTTCATACTTGTTGCAGCGGGAAATGGCACATATTGTAGGGAACTACAAGGCATCTCTGTAAGAGAATATGATGAAGGGCACATGGTAGGGCTGGTGCGGATGCTCTCTTACCCCAGCTAAATCACATTTGGCTTAGAAGCTAGTGTGATGGAGCCCTAAACTGGGTTTGTTCTTGGACCAGCTATAAGGAAGGTGCTATGAAAGGCAGAATCTAGGGAAACCAGAAAATGAGAGTGGTCTATTTTGGAATAAGGCTCTCTGCGGACGAAATTCAGGTAAGGATCTCTAGATAAGATCATCCTGGATTGGGATGGGCCCTAAATCTAATGATGGGTGTCTTACAAAGAGACAGAGAAGGAGAAGACACATGAGAGAAGGCCATGTGCGGATGGAGGCAGAGACTGGGGTTGTGCTGCCACAAGCCAAGGAACACCTAGGGCCACCAGAAGCTGGAAGAGGCAGGGACAGATGCTTTCCTAGATCCTTCGGCAGGAGCACGGCCCTGCTAACATCTCAATTTATACTTCTGGCCTCCAGAACTACAAAAGAGTAAATATATGTTGTTTGAAGCCACTCAGTTTGTGATAATTTGTCACAGCAGCCCTAGGAAGTGAATCCAGATGCATTCTTGGTGGTCTTCAGTGGGAAGACACTGCCATCGGGAAGGGATGAAGACAGGGAAGGCTCACAGTACTGAGGGAATCTCATGACATCAGGGCTCCCAGTTTTGGCAAAGATTTCCACGGTCAAAGAAGCATCCACTGGGTGAATGGCACAGCCATAGGAGGGAAGGCAACTCAGCCATCATTCCAAGGAGGAATGAACTTGATATATGTAACCACACGGATGTCTCAAAATAATTATGGTGAGAAAGGGAAGCAAACAAAAAAAGACTATGTGCTCTCTGTTACGATTCCACTTTGTGTAAAAGTCTAGAAAATGCAAACTCATCTCTAGTGAGAGAAACAGATCAGTGGTTACCTGCAGAGTGAAGGTGCTATAGACTGAGTTGTGTCTCCTCAAATTCATATGTTGAAGCCCTAACCCCTAGTGTGATAGTATCCAGAGATGTACTACCACATGGGGACTTTGGGAGGTAATTCAGTCATGAGAGTGGAGCCCCCATAATGGGATTAGTGCCCTTTTTAAAATAGACACTAGAGAGATCTCTCTGCCTCTGCACCTCTCTACCATGTGAGCACACAGTGAGAACAAGGCCTTCTGCAAACCAGGAAGTGAGCCCTCACCAGAACCTGACCGTGCTGGTACCTTGATCTCAGACTTCCAGCCTTCAGAATGGTGAGGAATGAATTTGTGTCATTTAAGCCATCCAATTTATGCTATTTTGTCATGGCAGCCCTAGCAAACTAATACAGGTGGGAAGGAGAAAGAGAGAGGGATTGGAGAGGGAGACCAGCAGCCTTTCGTGGACGATGGACATGCACACTGTCTTTACTGTGGTGACAATTTCATGGGTATACACATATGTTCAAATATATCAAATTGTATACTTTATGAGCAATTCAGTGTATGTCAATCATGTTTCTTTTTTAAGAAAAAAATTAAAAAGAAGAAGCCACTGCACTTCAAGAGACCATGGACATCTCAGCAAAAGACAGGGATGACTTTATGGTTATCCCTGCCCCCCCCACACACACACACCTTTGCACAATTGTTTAGGGAAGGGAGGGAGAACTCCAGGGAACCCTGGTTCTATCTTGCCACACATCCTGGTTACACCAGCTGTCTCAGCCCATAGTGTTTCTCACCAAACCAAACTTGTCTCTAGTTTGTGCTTGTCTGTTTGGTCTCTTGACGTCAGCATTTTGCAAGTGATTCTTTTTCTCTGCCAAGGTCTCTTTTATTCTTCTAGTTAGACATGCTCCATCCATGGGAAAATAGCTTCTTAGCCCTGAGCGCTCTTGCCCTGAGTCCTACCTCAAACGTTAAAGTACTCAGCATGAGAAGTTGAATCCACAAAATATGGCTCATACCCACATCTAACACTTATTAAGGCTCTTTTTTTTTTTTTAAGGGAAACCTATGTCATCACCTTATAGTCTTCTTGTTTGTTTTATTGAGACAGAATCTCACTCTGCCACCCTGGGTAGAGTGCCGTGGCGTCAGCCTAGCCTACAGCAACCTTAAACTCCTCGGCTCAAGCAATCCTCCTGCCTCAGGCTCCCAGAGTGGTAGGATTCCAGGGCTGAGCCACCACACCAAGCCCACCTTACAGTCTTGTTGTGGGTAGGACAGACCGTTGTTTCTAGACAGGCTTTCGGCTGTCTCCTTCTACACTCCCATATAACACTGAGCTTGTTTCTATGCACAAAGGGAGCATGTATTGCAAGGGTCATGGTGTATTGCCTAGGTCTGATTTTTAAAATCTTAGTAGATAGAGACCATTGGCCATTGGCCATTGGCCATTTCAGGCACTTCATGAAACCGTGTTTTGGTTTCTGTTTGCATGGAATACTTTTTTCCATCCTTTCATGTTGAGTCTGTCTGTGTCTTTGTGATTTAGATGTGTTTCCCAGAGATGGCAGATTCCTGAGTTGTGTTTTTTCATCTATTCAGCCAGCCTGTGTCTTTCGAATGGAGCATTCAGATTGTTAATCACCGTTTGAGTGATAGAATTGATGTGTGGGATGCAGTTCTGTTCATCATGTTGGGTTGTACCTTATTGCCTTTTCCTCTTGTGCTGTTGTTTCATAAACGCTTTAGAGTTTTGGGGGTGATTCTACACTGGTGGGTGTCTATTGTGCTGATTCGTGAATAATGTAATTCTGAGTATTTCCTGCAGGGCGCGTCTGGTCATGACGAATTCCCTCAGTGTTTGCTCATCTGGAAAACACTTAATTTCTCCATCAATTTTGAAACTTAGTTTTGCAGAATACAAAATTCTAGGCTAGCAGTTGTTCTATTTAAGAATATTGAAGACAGGTCCCAGTCCCTTCTTGCTTGTAAGGTTTCTGCTGAGAAGTCTGCGGTTAGCCAGATAGGTTTTCCTTTGTAGGTTAGTTTTTTTGTTTGTTTTGTTTTTTGAGACAGAATCTCACTCTGTTGCCCTGGCTAGAGTGCTGTGGTGTCAGCCTAGCTCACAGCAACCTCAGACTCCTGGGCTCAAGGGATCCTTCTGCGTCAGCCTCCCGAGTAGCTGGGACTACAGGCATGCGCCACCATGCTAGACTAATTTTTTCTATGTATATTTTTAGTTATCCGGATAATTTCTTTCTATTTTTAGTCTCGCTCTTGCTCAGGCTGGTCTCGAACTCCTAGAGCTTAAACAATCCACCTGCCTCGGCCTCCCAGAGTGCTAGGATTTACAGGAGTGAGCCACTGCGCCCAGCCAACTTCACTCATTTTTAAGGCTGAATATTTCTTTGTATAGAGAGGCCACATTTTATTTCTCCAATGATCCATGGACATTTGCGTTGTTTCCACTTTTGGCTATTAGGAATAATGCTATTATGCACATCCGTGTACAAGTTTTTATTTGCATATCTGTTTTCTATCTCTTAGGTATATACTTTGGAGTGGAATTGCTTGTTCACACGGTAATCATGTTTAATTTATTGAGTTAAACTGCCAAATTTAACTCACAGGAGCTGAGCCATTTTACATTCCCACCAGCGGTATATGAGGGCTCCAATTTCTCTACATCCTCACCAACATGTGCTATTTTCTGTTTTGTTTTGTTTTTTCGTTATAGTCATGATAGTACGTGTATTAATCTTATTGTAGTTCTGATTTCTAGTAATTGTGTTTTTGGAAACCCTCCTGGTGATTCTGACACAGCTGAAGTTTGAAAGTATGGTCCAGGGACCATTAGGACCAACATCACTTAGGAAATAGTTACAGAAATGTGGGATCTTAGGCCCCACTCAGAACAACTTGGTGGACAGACTCCACATTTTAACAAGACCCCCAGGGGATTCCCAGGCACACGAGTGTTTGAGAAGCACTGGTGTAAGAGATCGTTCTAAATTGCTAACACTTCTTACTCATCGTTTTAACAGACGAGAGTTACAGTTTATATTTATGTCTCATGCTTGCCTGACATGTTCTTCTTTGACTGCCTGGAAAGGTGTGAAGAACGTAGAACTCGGAGTAGAAAAGACTCAGGTTCAAACCGTGACACCATCACTCACCAGCTATATGAGCCCAGGCTACGGAGTGCTTGATCTAGAATATTGATTATCTGCATCCCACAAATGTTAGAGTTAAGTGATTTTAGGGATGCAAACATCTAACACAGCCAGCGTGGAGAAGTTCACTCAATCTCGTTCTAACCCCTTTCCCTCGCCCACGAGAACCCTGGAGAGTGTTGGTGAAGATCTCGGCCTTGGCTTCCTGTCATGCCACTGAGCACCTGAGGAACTGGCTGGATGAATTGCCAAAAAATTCCCTTCAGGCAGCCTTTCTGGGCAAGAAAAAAGTCCAGGAACAATT